CAAAAATTTAAAAAAAAAAAAAAAAAAGGAGAAAAGAAAAACAACTTAAACTAAAACCAACCCATTAAAAGAAAAAAAATTCAAATCCAAATCCAAAGATTTCACAGCAATTCTCGGCAGATTAGAGAAACGAATGTGAGGAGGAGAATAAGATCAAAACCTAAAACTAGAGCTTAAAACACACAATTTAAAGTTAAACCCAAACGTAAACTCAATTTAATTGAATTAAATTTACGAATTTCGAAATCTCTCTTTCATCTTTATGCTTTCCCACACACACACAGAGGCCTACGGGTTACCAGCTTAGGAAATAGGAGTTTTCCTTAGCATTCATGGCTTCTCAAAATCGAATTTTCATTAATAAGATATCTTGTAAAACGTTTCACAGAAAATTACATCCCATTTTCATTAATAAGATATCTTCAAACAATATGCAACGAGTATCACATTCTTTACTAAAAATATATAAGCATATAAGTCAACTTCCAACTATCTGTGTTCAAATTTAATGATATAAAATAAAGTGTGCAAGTGTGAAATATATTTTCACACAATACATCTCTTTAATGTCAAGTGATTTCTATTTGGATTGATGCTTTCACATAAAGGAAGAAAGATTAAGGAAACTGAAAAGACAACAATAAGAGAGCAATATTTGTATATGTAATTAGCTCCAAGGACAGTCCAATTGAGAAGAACTCCAAGGACAGTCCAATTGACAAGAACTTGAAGTCTTTTAGTCATACTGATTTAGAGGTCTCAAGTTCAAACTTTTCAGTTAGTTTGATACCAACAGTCTTTAATGCACGAGTGCCCCTGGGTATAGAGGAGCCATGCTCCGATTCTTAGTTATAAAAAAAATAAAAAGTAATATTTGTATATGTACTATGTAGAGCTGACTTTCAAAGATTCTTCCATCCAAGTGACCATCTCATAATCAAAAGGGTTCCTTGAAGCTCTAATTGATGTACCACTGTTTTTAAACCTCACGAGACAAACTTCTCAACGTGAAGCTCTAATATCACAGTGAATAGTATATGGTGTAAGACCACAAATGAAATGCACAAAACCAGAAACTGCAGCAACTGATCTAATTGTCTATCCATTCTCCTTATTAATTATCAGTAAATGTAAGTGCATAGAAAGAATAACTTGACAACCTGATTAGAATGAATTTGCAGCTGAGACAGGGATGAATGGGGGAAGAGCTGCACTGAAAAAAATCCGTTTCTTCAGAATTACGTCTAGAACAGTTAAAACTAGTAGAAACCCAACAAGCCAGTTCAAATCAAATATCATATTAATGGGCCAGAGATTAAAGATCGCCTTTAAATTTCCAAACGAGTAAACTCCAGTAAGCCAAACTACTCAGTCATTCATCCATATCTAATGAAATTATACAACACTTCCAAAACCTGCTCGCATAAATATAATTAAAAACTAATCCTGACAAACAAATACGTTGAAATAGCAATAGTCGTGAAGTGTTTTGATGACATTGATTTAACACAATAACAAACTTAATACAGCACCAAATGTAATGAATCTCACCCGAAAACAAAACAAAACAAAAAACTGTAAACATTGAGATGAGATATTAGTAGTAAGAGTGACTAACTAATAAAGGGATATTAGATAGAAATGTCAAGCTATTGCCAAAGAAACTTTAATACAGCTGTATTTCAGAAGCACTATGACAAAACCATAAACTCCATTTCCATAAAGAGCATTGTGCTTTCTCGATGTAATGAGAGAATAGGAGAAATCTAACATACTAGGTTTTCAAATAACAAATAAGAGAAAAAAACATTACTTAACCAGCTTTGGGAGAAAACATGGCATTCATCAGTGGCCCGCTAAATGCAGAACATAAACATCATTTCCAATTCGTATCTTATTCTTTTCTTAAATATGGATTATTTGGGGGCCTGAACAGTCGAATCATGACATCTTCAACAATCTGACAAGTTTTAGTGAAACCTCCAAAACCGCCACTATCCAACCCAGAAACATCCCACAAAAATGTAGCATTCTATCATCCAACCAATGCAACCTACATCAAATTGTTTCTCAAATTAGGCTGATTTCTGTGAATGAATGAAATTTCAGATGAATGCACATGTTTATAACTAATATTTGAAATAAAGAGGGTGACAATCGACTGACATCAAGAGATTCTACAGAGCTAATATGGGGAGTTCATTCTGCGAGATGACGCTTTCAGTTCTATAGATGAACGAAGACTCCAAGCGAACAAATGAGCATGATCAAGTTTTATAGACTAGAAACTATATTCTATAAATTAACTGCTTAAGCTTCGTATAGAGTTGAGCAGGTCCAATAGATAAGCGGGACAAATATTAAAAAAAAAAAAACTAATTAAAATGTTACTGACCCGCTGCATCTTGCACCACCGGCAGGTAAAGCAACAGCATTTTTTCAGCAGTTTCAGCAACGGCGACGCTTCTTTTGGCAACAACGAGGTCGCTTATGGCTTTTTCAAGCTTCTCATGAAGAGGTGTTTGGCGAGCATTCGCTTCGGAATCGATAGATTAGAGGTCATTAGGCTGATTTGGTCGCTGATGTCAAAATTTGTTTGCACATAATCGAAATTCTGAGGCTCGTTTGCCGGAATGAGTGGTGGCGAATTCATGGCGACCTTGGTTTCTCGGAAATGGCGAAAGTAGGACTACAAGGAGCGGCGTTGATCGAGCGTCTTTAAAGTTAAGCTGCTTCCTAGGGTTTTATTTTGTGGCGTTGTTTTTTTTAGTACAAATGCCAATTCCGACTCTCACAAAACCAAGTACGTAAATGGGAAAAATCCTAGTTTTTTTTTTTTTTTTCCATCTTTGAAGGCAGTAGGTGGGTAGGATTTAGACGATGTTTTGATCAAAGATAAATATAATTATTGTTGAGTTAGATTTTAACTATTATACTTTATTTATTAATACTATGATTTTATTTTTATAAATAATTTTTTAATATTGATAGATCTCACGTCATTTTTAAAATGATGTTGATGTGATATATAATAAATGAGAAATATTTATATTCTACCCTAAATTTTTCCTTAAATCACGTGTCATTTAGTCAAATATGGTTCTAGTTAGCTCGACACGTGCTCGTGTGTCATTTAGCTAATCGTGGCTTTAGCTAGCTCGGTTATATCATACTTAACGTGTATCTCATTTCTCACTCGATTGAATATTCAAATTTCTCATGTAAGAGCGTCCGCAACTCGCTATATGGCCAAACGAAACGATTTAAATTTCTTCAATAAAGATTATTGTTTTATCTGTAAAGTCGTTGATTTAGATAATTATATTATATAGATATATATATATATATAATATTATTATTTACAAGTTTAGAGTTTGTGAACTTACACCTTGACATATTGACTAACGACGTGCCCAACCTCCCCCAACACCCGAATTTGGTGCCTTTGTTTTGTCAATCTTACATGCTTTTTTTTTATGTAATTCATAATAACTGTAATATGTCAATTTTTAGAAGATTTATACCATATAAGCTCCACCTCAAGACACTCTTGAATCCGGTGGAACATAGATGCTTTTTTACAATATATCAAAAGTTTTAGATATATGTCATAGTTTTATAATTTTTTTATTTTTTATCCGATCGAAACAATATTATAATTCAATTGATTAATATTAATCTTCCACTAAAAATTTATAAATTTGAGTAGACGTTATATTAAAAGAAAACACATTATTTTTAAAATTTACCGAAGTATAAAAATTGTTTAGATGTGAGAGAGTTTTGCAATGAAATAATATAATATTCGAAAACAAACCTTATGCGAACAGTCGTGACATTTCACATTCCCAATCTTCATCTCCCATGGCCATGGAGTCGAACTCGAACCCTAACTCGGAAGAGCAAGCGAGGAACTGGCTTGAACTGCCTGAAGACATCACGTCTATGATTCTGCTGAAGTTAGGCGCCGTCGGTATCCTCTCAAATGCGCAAAACGTCTGCTCTTTGTGGCGTAAGATCTGCAAGGACCCTCTCATGTGGCGTGTCGTCGATATGCAAAACTTGGACGATTCGTTGGGCATGGACTACGATTTGGAGAAGATGTGTATGGAGGCTGTTGACCGTAGTTGTGGCCAATTGGTCGACATCAGCATCGAGCATTTTGGCGCCGACGAGTTGCTCCACTACATCACTCAGAAGTATGCTCTTGTTCTATTTATTGTTTCGTTGTCTTATTGTTCTAGCTACAGAGAGAAATCAACCTAAAACATTGTGTAGCTGATGTGATAGTTAAAATAAAAATGTCTACTGTTATGGAATGTCGTTGGATGTTCCGGCGTTTGCATCTTGAACTTGCTGTTTGGATTTTTTTTTGCAAATGTGACTTTCTACTTGTTTTGTTTAGATTTTATAATCTCATATAATCTGATCAAAATCTGGCCATCTGCTTTTGTTATTTGCTGTTATATTTCTGTAATGCATGTAATATAGTTTTTAAATCAGAGATGACCCATTTCTAACGTGTAATAAACGATCATGGTGTGGCCTAGTGGTCAATAAGAGTCGGTGTAAATAGCAAAGGGCTTAGAGGGAATGAATTCAAACCATAGTGGCCACCTAGTTAGAATTTAATATCGTATGAGTTATCTTGGCAACCAAATGTAGTAGGGTCAGACGGTTGTTCCATAAGATTAGTGGAGGTGCGCGCAAGTTGGTCCGGACACTCCGGAGATCATAGTTGAACATTGAAAGTATAAAGACCTAAACCATTAAACTAATTTGGGTGAATGTTGAGGACCAAAATTGAATTTGAACCATTTATAAGGCTTGTATAAATTAATATTTATATAATTCATTAATTGCCTGTAAAAAGCATTTTTGGATATAAACTGACAAGTTTCATGTGAAGTTGGGAATTTCTCTTCCATGACATGAGAGAGGGAACCTAAATGCTAGTCATTGATGTGCGATTTCTTGTGAAAATTTTATTTAATCTTTTTCCTGATTGAAGTACTTATTCTCTTCACACGGGTACTGTAAGTTCACTCATTGGAGCATATGCAATTCCATTCATTTTTCTTATCTTTGCCTTCAATCAATAGAAAAGAAAATTTCCCCTAGCTAGAATGAAGAGCAGTCCTTGTCAGTCATGGGGGATTGAAGATTCTTTTGGACTATTTTCTTATGGACGGATTTTCTCTGATGTTTTTTGTGTTGTGTTTATGTGATTTCTTGATTTTGGCGTTTCTAAATATTTACTTGTTGCAGTTCAAATCAACTTAGAAGACTCCGGCTTGTATATTGTGATGACATCTCAGATGAGGGATTTACTGAAGCTGTTTCAAAAATTCCATTGTTGGAGGATCTTGAAATAGTTTACGGTTTCAGTCCATTTTATGTAGAAACTTTGGAAACTGTTGGTCGGTGTTGCCCTCTTCTGAAATCGCTGAAACTGAACAGTCGATGAAAGATGCCAGGTGATGAGGAAGCCCTTGCTATTGCTGAAAATATGCCTAATTTGCATCACCTCCAGATATTTGACAACAGCCTAACTAACAGGGGCTTGCAGGCCATTCTTGATGGTTGTCCTGATCTGGAATCTCTTGATTTACGTCACTGTTTCAACTTGAATTTGGTGGGACCATTGGGAACTAAATGTGCTGAAAGGATCAAAAGTTTGCGCCTGCCTCATGATCCCACTGATGATATTCGTTATGATTCTCATTCTCATGGTGAAGATTACCCTTTAACTTTCTACGACTCCGATGATGACTACGATAACTACAACAACTACGACAACTACTGCTATGAATCCTTTTGGGACTCTGATTTCTCTGACTGTGACTATGCAGATTTCTTCTATCCTTGAAAATTTGTTTTCAGAAGCATAGTGAGAACCCTGGCCTCATTTTTGCAGTGGTAGCTCATAGCTAGGAGCATGAACCAAGGAGCCTTGCAATTGCAACTTCTGAACTGCATGAGAAGTATGAGAAGTTGTCTTTCCATTTGTGTAAGTAACTGCCATTTTGTTCCTCTCTTCTCTCTTCTGCATTCAATGAGTAAAAATCTAAAATAGCTTCTTTGTATTTTGTCATGTTTATATATGGGTAATGGGATAGGCTGGGAACTGTAGGAACTTTATTGATACTTGAACTAAATGATTTTATGCTACTATATATCACTTGGATTGCCAAATTTTGATATATCCAAGTGTTGATCCTTTCTTTTTTAGGTGTATTTGGATATCATTTCTTCCCATTATTTTTAAGGAAAATACTTAGCTCCTGACGTGTGCTCGCCACCATTAAATATCTAACAACTGAGAGAGAGAAGTAAGGAGCTAAGTATTTTCATATTTTTAATCTAATGGTATGATATAATGCTATTATGCATTTAGTTTCATATTTATGCAGATACAAGTGATTATATTTTAAAATTTTTTGAACGAAGGATTGGCAAATGGGCGGTGGAGGGAAGGGCGTCGTTATTGTAATTATGTTGAACATGTTATAGCTTTATTATATATTTGGCTTGATTGTTTAAAGTCTGCGACCTATAAAATGGATTCACATGGCCGTCAAAAATTTTACAGTCATATTGTGACATGGTTGATGAGTTTTAAATTTAGAAAAATGAACCGCAAATATGATAAGAGTAATAACCATTAATCTCCCGATTTGATTTGCCAAAGTATAGTTCAATCATGCCAAGGTGAGTATAATTTAACTGTAATTGACATATATCTCTAATTATGAGTTCGATCTCTCACTCGTATGTTGTACTAAAAAAATCTTTCGATTTGATTTTATGGATTTTAAACTCCAACTTTCTAATTGTTTTTTAGTTAGTGTCTTTTAATTTTTATGTTCACATATGAGTACTCAACAGGTTGATTGAGACTATGATTGTGAATGAAAATTTTGTCAGACGTCAATCAATCTATGATGTGTTGTTATGTCATTGTCTGATTTTTGTTGTTTGTCCTTAAAAGCTCTTCGATACTTTTTCGATTAGTGAAATGTTACTAAATGTATGAATGAGAAGCTTGGATTGACGGGGTTGGTATCGAAGTAAAAAATCAATAGAAAAAATTTCTTTTTCGACTGATGGAACTCTAGGTCTGGTTCTTATTCCATCTCAAATTCAAATTGGATGGAGTCACATGACAAGAGAACATATACTCTTGAACTCCAAAAGCGAGTATTGAATATTCCATATCAAAAATTGATTTAAGCTTTAGAATTTTTACTCTTTTTGAATTCATATGTTGGGTTGATGTCTGTTTTGGCTAAATACATAAATGTTGAATTTACATACTTTTACTATGAATTAACTTATTTAGGAATGTTTTTTTGTTAATTAAAATATATTAATGAACTTTTCACAAATATCCCTTAATATTTTTCTAGACATATATTTGTTTGATAAATGTCATGCTGTTTTTAAATGAACAAATAAACATAGTGTCATATTTACTATTCTTTTTTCTATAACAATAATTCTAAATTTTATGTCAAATGTTCAACTATAATTAACATATATCTCAATCAAGGGTTGTGAGTTCAATCTCTACCCTTACCTATACTAAAAAATTCAAATTTTATCCTATACTAAAAAATTCAAATTTTATCCATATTCAAATTTTATGCTCAAGAGAATTACTTCCTCGATCAATCATCAAACTTCTGTTAGGAACAAGTATCTGCAACGTTCTTGCAGGGCAGCACAAGCAATGGCCACTCGTCTACCACCAACACGGATGAGAAACAAGAATCATATAAACACAATTATGAAAAAAAAAAAAAGAACATTTTAATTTCTCTAATTTCTTCAAAACAGAGATTTTTCACATAAATCAGTGAGTTCTTTCAGGAACAGACTTCAAAAACACAAATTATATGCAAGAAATTGGCGGGGGATTCAAATATCTTTCAAACTTCAAAAAATTACCCAATGGCATTTCCCTTGACCTGTTCGATGACGTTTAGAACTCTCCCGAAATTCGAAGTACTCGGTTGCCTAGAAAATCGAAACAGATTCAAATTAACGAAATCAGAAAATTAATTAAAGATACGGAAGAATTTGCGCGAGATTGGTTACCGAAGGTGCGATCTAGAAATGCCTGCAACAAACACCACGATTCATCAAATCAATCTGAATTCCGGTTCTCGATCTCAAGAAAATCGCAAAAGAGATTACAGATCGGAGCAGCGAAAAAGATTAATTACATGTTCGCGCTAGGCATAGGTGAACGAACCTCTCCACCATTAGTCTCTGAGGATAGGATGAATCGACGCCATTTTTGAGTTTTGAGTTTCAGTTTTCGATCGATTTTTCTTCTGAAAATCACGAAAATTAGTTGCAGAGGATTCAGGGAGGCGCGTTTTTTTAATTGTCTCCCCTCTTCTCCCAAAGTTCCATGGCCATGGCGTCGAAATCGAACCCTAAATGTGAAGAGCAAGCGAGGAACTGGCTTGAACTGCCTGAAGACATCACGTCTATGATTATGATGAAGTTAGGCGCCGTCAATATCCTCTCCAATGCGCAAAACGTCTGCAATTAGTGGCGTAAGATCTGCAAGGACCCTCTCATCTGGCGTGTCGTGGATATGCAAAATCTGGACAATCCCTTCCGCAGGGGCTACGATTCGGAGAAGATATGTATGCAGGCTGTTGATCGTAGTCGTGGCCAACTGGTTGACATCAATATCGAGCATTTTGGCACCGATGAGTTGCTCCACTATATCTCTCAGAGGTATGTTCTTGTTCTATTTTAGTTTCGTTATCTATCTTGTTGTTCTTACGATAGAGAGAAATCAACCTGAAGCCTTGTGTAGTTGCTGTGACGGTTTTTAGGGGAAAAAAAAAGATCTACTGCAATGGAAGAATGTCAGTGGGATTTTCTGGCGGTTGCATCTTGAACTTGCTGTTTGAATTGTATTTTGCAAATGTGCTTTTCTACTAATTTTGTTTAGATTTTATAATTTAAAATGCTCTGGTCAAATTCTGCTTTTGTTCTTTTCTGTTATATTTCTGTAGTGCTTCTAATATAAATCAGAGATGGCCCATTTCTAACATGTAATATAATTTTTATTTTATGAAAGGATTAAAAGTTTGTGCCTGTCTCATGATCCCGTTGATGACTATGATTTCTCTGTCGATCCCTATATTGATAGCGACTACGAGGAATCATTTTCGAATCCTAGTAATCTGAAACGAAACGGTACGGGCAGTAACTGGGAGCCAAACCCTAGTTCATGATCCCCATCTCCATTTCAAAATTTCTCTGAACTTTTCCCGGGAATTCGTTTGTTGTCCCATTTCCTTCCATGAAGCGGAAGCGTAAGATAGCGAGGAACTGGCTTGAACTGCCTGCAGAAGTCATGTCCACGATTATGCTGAAGCTAGGCGCCATTGAAATCCTCACCAGCGCCCAATTCGTTTGCTCTTCGTGGAACAAGATCTGCAAGGACCCTTCCATGTGGCGCGTCATCGATATGCACAATCTGGGTGATTTACATGACATGGAATACAATTTGGAGATCATGTGTATGCACGCTGTTTTCCGTACTCGTGGCCAATTGGACGACATCAACATCGAGTACTTTGGCACCGATGACTTGCTCCGTTACATCACTCGGAGGTATCTTCTAACAGAAATCAACCTAAATCCTTGTGTAGTTGCTGTGATAATTTCAAATTTTCTGTTTTTGTTCTGATGCTTGTTCTGTTTCTGAAATTTGCATGTAATACAAATCAGAGATGCCCCAATTCCATACCCAACAGATCAAACAATTGGGACTTAACATGAGTAGTCTATTAAAGTAATTCTACCATTGCCACTGTCATTGGAAGTTGTACCCAATGGAGCATATGCAATTCCATTTGTTTTTCTTATATTTGTCTTCAATTTAATAGAAAAGAAATTTCAAGTGGGCAGGATGGAACTGAAGATTCTTTTGGACTGTTTTTTTTGTTGACAGATTTTCTCTGATGGTCTGTGTTTTTCTTTTTCATGAGTTCAGATTCCGTTGATCTTGATGTTTGAAGTTTCTTTCTGTGTATTAACTTGTTGCAGCACCAATCAACTTAGAAGACTCCGGATTGCAGTTTGCTATGACATCTCAGATAAGGGATTGACCAAAGCAGTTTTGAAACTTCCATTGTTGGAGCATCTTGAAATATTTCTCTGTTCATTTTCTGCTAAAACTTTGAAAATGGTTGGACAGTGTTGCCCCCTTCTGAAAACATTGAAACTGAACAACCAGTTTTGCAAGGGATGAGGGATGGTAAGCGACAAGGACGCGCTCGCTATCGCCGAAAATATGCCTAGGTTACATTACCTTCAGATATTTGGCAATGGCCTAACGGACAGTGGCTTGCAGGCCATTCTTGATGGCTGCCCTGATTTAGAATCTCTCGACTTACGCCAGTGTTTCAACTTGAAATTGGCGGGGCAGCTGGGGAAAAAATGTGCTGAAAGGATCAAAACTTTGGGCTTGCCTCATGATCCCACTGATGGCTATGAATTTACGACCGAAATTATTGATCTTGATTGTTATGGTTCTCACGATAATGACAGTGACTAGTAAGCGGTTATTCTGAATATGACTAACCATATTTTTTGTTTTACGTCGATAGGTGAGTTGTTATCATTCTTTTGGATTGAAGCTCTGCTCTTCAAGTTTGACCTCAAGCTCTGCTCTTCAAGTTTGACCTCAAGCTCTGCTCTTCAAGTTTGACCTCCTTTTGTTGGGTTGTTTTTTCAATGTCCTGTTGTCAAAGTTCGGTTTTTACTTGGGCTGAACTTCATGAGAAGCTGTGTCTCCATCTGAGGAACCATATTTTTTTCTCTTTTTGAATTCATATATTGGTTTGACGTCGGTTTTGGCCAAATACATAAATGAATTTGCATACATATACACTGAAAATTATTAATTTGTCTAAAGAGTGCAGAACATTTATTTATTAATTTAAATGTATTAATGGGTTTTTTTAAGAAATATCGCTCAATACTATTTTAGACAGATGTTTGGTGAGCTTCATATTTCTTTTTAAATGAACAAATAAAAAGGTGCGATATTTGCGGTTCTTTCCGTAACAATAATTTCAAATTTTCAAACTTTATCCTATATACCCTTTTATTTAAGTAGTTTTCAACACTCCATAGTACTTATTTGTTTCTTTTTTTATTATTATTTTTTTAATTTTAAAAGGTACAAGCGAAAAATAACTTTTTTCTTTCTTTCTTTTAAAAAAAATGATAATTAAGTTATTAATATGTAAAACAAAAACAAAAATTGGGGCAAATATCTATGTAACTAAGGGAGAGTTTTGATAATGTGGTATGAGAAAAGGGCATTTACGAAAATGTCCCTGACAGATTTGCAAATATATTGACCCTATTTATTTTCCGCCCGTCAAACAGTTTCTTCATCTTCTCCCAGAAAAATGGAGTCGAACTCGAACCCTAACTCGGAAGAGCCAGCGAGGAACTGGCTTGAGCTGCCTGCAGACACAACGTCTATGATTCTGATGAAGTTAGGCGCCGTCGATATCCTCTCCAATGCGCAAATCGTCTGCTCTTTGTGGCGTAAGATCTGCTACGACCCTCTCATGTGGCGTGTCGTCGATATGAGAAATTTGGATGATTCGTTGGACATGGACAAGGATTTGGAGAAGATGTGTATGCAGGCTGTTGATCGTAGTTGTGGCCAATTGGTTGACATCAATATTGAGCGTTTTGGCACCGACGAGTTGCTCCACTATATCGCTCAGAGGTATGTTCTTGTTCAATTTCAGTTCCGTTATCTTGATGTTCTTAAGGTTATTTTGTTCAAGTTACAGAGAGAAATCAACCTAAAACCATGTGTAGTTGCTGTGATAGTTGTTAAAATTGTCTACTGCAATGGAATGTCGTTGGATGTTCTGGCCATTGCACCTTGAACTTGCTGTTTCAATTTCATTTTCCAACTGTGCCATTCTACTTATTTTGTTCAGTTTTTGTAATTTAAAATGATCTGATCAAATCTGCTTTGTTATTTGCTGTTATACTTCTGTAATGCATGTAATGTACATCAGAGATGGCCCATTTCTAACATGAGTCTACGTGATGGCTCTTAGTATTTCTGTTAAATGTATTTTTTTCTTTGATAGCCTATCATGAAAGGCTAAAGTGGAATTTTATCATTGAAAGTATAAAGATCTAAACTAGTAAACTAATAAGGCTAGTATAGATTAATATATACATAATTCATTGATTGCTTCATATGATATAAAATGACAAGCTTGTGAGAAGCTGAGAATCAGTTTTCTATGATATGAGAACCTAAATTCTAGTAGTTGTGCGATGTGAAAATTCTTTTTCATTCCTTTTCCATCAGAATTGTCAAATATTTTATTAAAGTACTTATCCTATCATGGATATTGGAAGTTCAACCCAATGGAGCACGAGCACCTGCAATCCCATTCATTTTCCTTATCTTTGCCTCCCATTTAATAGAAAAGAAGATTTCCACTAGCCATAATGGAGAGCAGCCCCTCGTAAGTCATGGTGGACTGAAGATTATTTCGTACTATTTTCTTGCGGACGAGTTTTCTTTGATGGTTTGTGTGTTTATGTGGTGTCTTGATTTTGAGTTTATAATTTTCTTGATTTTTTCGATTGTAAATATTAACTTGTTGCAGTTCAAATCAACTTAGAAGACTCCGGCTTGTATATTGTCATGACATCTCAGGTAAGGGATTGGCTGAAGCAGTTCCAAAACTTCCATTGTTAGAGGATCTTGAAATATTTTTCAGTTTCGATTCATTTGATATGGAAACTCTGAAAACTGTTGGTCGATGTTGCCCTCTTTTGAATTCACTGAAACTGCACAATCGGAATTGCAAAGGACCTCGACTGATGGGATGTGATGAGGAAGCCCTTGCTATTGCTGAAAACATGCCTAATTTACGTCACCTTGGGATATTTAGCAATAGCCTAACCGACTTGGGCTTGCAGGCCATTCTTGATGGTTGTCCCTATTTAGAATCTCTTGATTTACGCCACTGTCTCAATTTGAATTTGGGGGGACAGTTGGAAAAAAAATGTTCTAAAAGGATCAAAAGTTTGCAGCTGCCTTATGATCCCATTGATGACTGTGATTTATATGACAACCTCTATATTGATAGCGACTATGAGGAATTCTTACGGGGCACCAGTATCTATGGCCAGTGAGAAAAACCTTGGCGCAGTTTATAGTTGCTGCCTCTCGGCCAATTGTAGCTGGTGCATGAGCCAAGAAGCCTTGCAACTTCTGAACTGCCATTGTAGTAAGTAACTGCCATTTTGTTCCTTTATTCTGCATACAAGTTAAAATCTAAAATAGCTTCTGGGTATCTTCAATTTGTCATGTTTATATATGGTATAGGCTGGGAAATTTAGGTAGGGAACTTATTGAATTCAACTAACCAAGTTATATGATTCAAAGTTACCAAGTTCATGTATCGAATATTCAATTTTTATTGATACTTAATAATTAATTGATTTTATGCTGCTATGTCACTTGGATGGTCTAATTTTGATATATCTTGGAATGTACAGACTACAGTGTTATTTTTATATATTTTTGCAGAATTATCGGGAGTTGCTTTGTTGAAAAGGAAATGGTTCCTTTCAGTGAATTTTTTTTTATATTCGTGAATGTCTAACCAATTTGTGCACCTCAACTCATTTTAGGGGACAGTAGTGTGATCCTATTATATTTGGTTGTCAAGGTAACTCGAGAGATGTAGGTGGCTACTCTGGTTTGAACCCATTTACTAAGCATTTTACTAGTGTGTATTGATTGCTAAGCACCCAAGTATTGTATTAGTAGGAAAGGACGTAGTTTTGATCAAGTTTGCAAATGTTGCCTTCTAGACTTATTGTCGGTCTTAATACTAATGATATATTTTTTTTTAACTAGGACAAATAGCACAGAAATCATACCACTATTATAGTTATTATAATCATATCTCAAATTTTTAATGATAAAAAATTGACCTTCAAACTTACATAACTATGTTTAATGCATTATAATTTTATTATCAATTTTGTTAATTGTTTAAAATGCTCTCTGAAGTTAATCTCAAAGGAGTCACTGAAACTGTTATGGTTTTTGAGTTATAAAGATGGTAGTGACACGTGAATTTTAAAAAATGAATTGCAAATGTGGCAAGTACAATAATTTAGAGTCTTTTGCAAATGGGGAAAATTGTAATGAACAGGCACTTTAAAAATTGAGTATTGATTTCTAGTCACCCTTTCAAAAATTAGATTTTCTAAGCATTTTTTCCTCCCAAATTACTTTCCTACCCTTCCCTCTCTCTTACTCCTTCTCTCTTCCTTTCCCTCCTCTCTCTTACTTTTCACTTTTCTCTCTCCTTCATTATTATTTCTCTTTTCCAAAAACTTTCTTTCTCTTCTATCCAGGCCCCCTTCTCTCTCTCCTCTTTCTCTTTCTTCTTCTACCCACGCCCCCTTTCTCTTTATCCTTCCATATTCTCCACCCCCTCTACCCGTCGTGAT